ATGATTCCCTAGCACTAACCCTAACCCTAAAAGTGGACTCAATTTGCACTATTTCTGGCAGTCTGCAACCCCCCATAGATAACATTTGCTAGCCACTATTATTTTTTCAATATTAGTCATGATGTTATTTGTTCTTGAGTTACCAGGACTTACTTATTATTACTAATTATTACTAATATTAGCTAGGACTCTCTATTGCAGTATACAATACATAATTATTTGTTTTTGCATAAGGCCAAAATGATAGAGATTTGCATCCCTAGTTTAATACTCAATTTAGCTACAACTTTAATTTTCTTTAAATGAAGTATCTTCCAAATTGAATCACATTTCCATAATTTGTTCTTTGTAATCTTTGAATCAATACTAATTTTGCCACAAATCTTGTTTACTGCATTTCATAGGTGAGCTTTGTTTGGTTCATTGGTTGGGTTTTAATTGTCAGCAAAACCAGCAACATTTGCTACAAGAAGATGGAGGTTGTTTCTGCTATGTGACGATAGCATCTCATTGTGTTAGCAAGGAATGTGAAAGAGACCATGTTATGTTCATGTGTCCAACCCCCCTTCCTCTTTAACTGAACATTTATTCATTTTTAAATGAGGAGCTTTTGAAGATGTAGAGGTGAACTAATTTGAATAATAATAGAAATGGGGAAAACTCAATGCAACCTACTTCCTTAATTATTATTTACTTTTCAGAGATGTCATCAGGAAAAGCATCTGGTTGTTGAGCTGTGAAAAACTGACACATCAGGGTGAATTGCTGTTTTCCAACTATTTTTCTAGGAAGTTGGGTATTTTCTTTCTGGAGGTCTCATTTATGCTAAGCACAGTGAAGAAAGAGAAAAAGTCAGGCTCTATTGCAAGGCACCATAACTTATGTTCATTGAATGCAGAATTAACTAAACCTTGAAATGAGAGTTTGCTTCCATGCTTTGTTCATTCTGCCAAATTTAGCCACTTCTAGGATTGCTGGGTTGGGGACATTCCAGACCTTGAGATTTAAGGGCCAAAACATGAGATGTAGGGACAGCTCCTAGTGATGTCACTGAAGACAGCCCTGTGATGTCTTTAGACATGATACTATAAGCATTCATTTCTTCTTGAAATACATTTAAGAGTTCATAAGACTTTTTAGCAATAGTTCCTTTCATTATATTATGCCTAACAGATAAATGGCGAGATAGCCTGGTCTTAGGCAGAAGTCATATTATCATACACCCACAAAACACCTGGACCACCTGAAGATCCAGCTGTCTGATAATTAATGCAGAATTGGGAATACCTGCACAAAATGTATCATTTTCCCCAAATACCACTCTCTCTCTCTCTCTCTCTCCACCCTCTGGCTGGCATCCTGTTAGTGAGTGACTTATGCACACGTAAGTACACTTCCATACGCACAAGCCCCTTTTTGGATCGGACACTGAAAGCTGTTCTCTTGCCTATGCACTTCATCTAAAAACCTCTCATGCCTGCCAGCTGTCAGATTCTGGGAGATGCTGCTGTTACTCCTTCTTACTGGTGGGAAGCAGATTTAGAAAATGAAGGTCCTGCTGATCTGAGCTCCCGGGGGAAGGAAATGGTGGATGCACTGCATTTCAGAGATGCTCTCTCATTTCCTTCCTTCCCTACCAAGCTGAGACCAGCTGCTTCTCATAATCTGAATCACCTTACCTCTCCCTCCCTTCCTCACTGCTAAGAAGAGCAGCAACAGCACTCACAACTTGACCAGACATGGACTATATGTGTGGAGCTACACACAGATGTAGAATCTTAGTTGCTGTGAAAGGTGAATATTTGAACCAGACAGCCTCTATTTCTATGAAGCCCCACCACAGATGGACCAACTATAGCTCTGCTTCCGTAGGGACAAAGTAGTCCTCTGTACCAACATCACCTTTCTGCCCGAGGTGGTGTCGGCTTTCCACATCAACCAGGACATTGTGTTGCCCACCCTGGCCCCCAACCCAACTACTGATACAAACGCAGACTGCACTCTTTGGACATTCAGAGAACCTTGGCCTTCTATCTGGAAAGGACTTCGGATTCGAGGTGCTCTGAGAGACTTTTTTTATGTTACTCAGAGGCTAAGAAGGGGCTGCCTGTTACATCCCAGAGACTGTCCAAATAGGTGTCATAAACCATTCATCTTTGTTATGAATTGGCAGGCAAAACCCCACTGGGCCGGGTGCATGCACATTCAACCAGGGCGGTAGCTGCATCATCTTCATTTTTGACTGGGGTGCCTCTGGAGGATGTTTGCAAGGCTGCTGCCTGGTCACAGCCAATGACTTTTGTTAAGCACTATAGGCTGGACACAGGGGCCAGACAAGAAGCCTCTTTTGGAAGGGCAGTGTTGTTATCTGGTTTGCACTGACTATTTTCACTTTTTTTTTTTGCATCTTTGTATTCAATGAAGTGACACTTGAATGCACTTGCAATTTGAAGTTTGCAATTTTTTGTTGTTAATAAAAGTTTCCTCTTGTTAAAACTTACAAGATTGATGTCAGGACACTCCCTCCTCCACTGATCTAAGCTTGTGATTCGCAGAGACCATGAAGAAGGACAGGTTGCTTACCTGTAACAGTATTTCTTTGAGTGGTCATCTGCGAATTCACACAAATCCCACCCATTCTCCCCTCAGTCGTATCCTGCTCATTACTGTGTGAATTCACAGATGACCACTCGAAGAAATACTGTTCCAGGTAAGCAACCTGTTCTTCTCCACACCATCCACACATGTAGTTTATGCAAGGCAATCAGGACCCTCTTCAGCCATCTGCTGGCACATTTTGAACAAAATATGCATGCACATTTCTCTAGCTGTGCCTATGACATCTATACAAGGGATGCATATTTGCATAAGGACAAGTAGTTCTTCTGTTCATCATCCATTTGATCCTAGTGTTAATAGATAATTGTAACCTTAGGACTGCTTCTGGCAAGTAGAACCGCAGGGGATAGACTTCATCACATCTCAAGCATAGCATGTGATTGAACCAACTCTGTACCTCAGTACACTAAAGAAGTAATACGATGACAATGAATCTAAATCTAAGCACTGCAGTCAGTAAAAACAAACAGATCTGTCCCCATGGGCTTACAAGATGAAAAGACAGATGAGAGGATAGGAGAAAAGACAGCATAAGAAAGAGAGGAGAGTTGAGGAGAGGAATTAAATTAAGGAGTTTATCGCTTGGGGTTTTAAATCAAATCAAGCCTCTCGGACTGCAGCTGGAAGGCGGGACAGAGGTGGGGATTATCGCATGCTAAATCGCTACCGAATCGCGGGCCTCCGTCAGCACGGATCCCAGCTGGGCTCAGCCAGTGCTTTTTAGAAGCTGGAAAGTGTTCTGATTTCTAAAAAGCACCAGCTGAGCCCGGCTTGGACCTGGGCTGATAGCGGCCGGCAATTCGGTGGTGATTTAGCATGTGATAATCCCCGCTTCCATCCCACCTCCTGGCTGCAGCCCGGGAAGCTTGATTCAATTTAAAACTCCAAACGATAAGCTCGTAAGACAGAAAAGTCTGAGTTTACATTTCTGTCCTTTTGAGCAATGCTAGAAATAAAGGAAGACAGAAGCACAAATCAATCGTGTACTGAGTCTTTCTATTAAATAGCTCATACTTATAAAGTTTCTATATTAGTGGCATTCCCTTAATTATGGAGCAGGTAGTTTGAGAACTTGTCCTAATGGCTGGGGACAAAAAAAATATTTGATCAAGGGATGAAAAAGGAAACCTCAATAAGAAGAATTCCCCTGCAATGAGAAACTTTACATTTTGGGATTTTTCTGAATGAAAAAACAAACCAACCAGCAACATATGAGTTATAAATACTGAAAATGCACAGGAATGTCTTTTTCTGGCAAGAAATTGACATTCTTGTGGAGAAAATGTCATTTTCTACATAAAATCCCTCACTTTTTATGCAGAATAAATCCTGAACTGTAGATAATCCTCAAAAACTACAAACTACAACATATATTAGAAATATGTTTTTAGTGTTTTGATTGTAACCACGTGTTTAATAATAATGTTGTTTTATTCTCTTTTAACTTTTGTAATCAATGTTACAGCTGTTACTGTTTTTTTAAACTGTTGTAAGCTACCTTGGATCCCATTTTAGGAGAAAGGTGGGATATCAGTGCCATTAGCCAAGCAAATAATCAATCAATTTTTCAAGGACTTTCTTACATCAGGCAGAAAAACAACATATTAAGTACTGTTTCAGGCAACTATAAAATTTATGCAAATTTACTTCTCTACTGAAGAGAGAGAACCTGGGTGGTCACAACAAATCTGTGCATTTCCAAGGAGGATCTTAGAATAAAGTTGTCCTTCTTCTTATACTTTCCTCTAGCCTGTTTTCTGGAACTAAAAAACATTTAATACCAAACTGTAAATGGCTTTGGTCCTATCCAAAATTGGAATGCAGGGAGAGAAGGTACAATATAAATTGTTGTTGTTGTTGTTGTTGTTGTTGTTGTTGTTGTTGTTGTCGTGTGCCATCATGTGGGCCTTGGTCTATGCTGACCACAAGAATGCATATCCAGCATTTCACAAATGAAAACCAGGAACACATATGGCCAAGTTACATCAAAGTGTGGTTAAGATGACAAAAATTATTAGTAAGGAAGAACATGCTAGCTAGGGGAGGCTGCAGCAGTTTGCTTTTGCCTAACCCTACTGGAAGAGGCACAGTTCTGCCCCTCTCCTCCCTGCTGAGTTAACTGTGTACAAACTACTGAATGCAGTATGCAGCAACTGAAGTAAGCTGAGGAAAAAGAGGAAAAGTGGGAGGAGGAGAGAGAAACGAGGACACTTTAAAAAGGTGAAAAGATTAGATGACATTGGATAAATCGGGGCTGACCCTGCCAAATTGGGACTATTGCAGGCTTTGTGAATGAGAGACCTCCAAGAGATCTTTTTATTAACAGCCTGTTCTGGCCTTTCAAACTATGACTATGATTTCCTTTGTTGAGTAAATTCATCTGTAGTGTGGTATAGTGGTTTGAATGTTGGACTAGGACATTGACAGACCAGGGTTCGAATCCCTGCTTGGGTGACCTTGGGCAAGTTACAGTTGCTCAGCCTCAGAGGAAGGCCAAGAAAACCCTGTGATAGGTTCACCAATGAGTCACCATAAGCCAAAAATTACTTGAAGGCACATAACAACAAATCTGTAGTGTAGTCTTTTCCAACTACCTTCAAATTATCCTAGCATCCACTGCCTTTTCCAGTGAGTTCTCATCCAAAGTACAATAGCCTCAATTTAGTCATTTTGGTTTCTAGTGAGAATTCAGACTTGATTTGCTGTAGGATCCATGCATTTGTCTTTTTTGGCATTCCACAGTATCATAGAATCATAGAGTTGGAAGAGATCATAAGGGTCATCCAATCCAACCCCATTCAGCCATGCAGGAAGACACAATCTAAACACTTTCGACCATCCAGATGGCCATCCAGCTTCTGATTAAAAACCTCAAAAGAAGGAGACTCTACCACACTCCAGGGCAGAGTATTCCACTGTCAGAGAGCTCTTACTGTCAGGAAGTTCTTCCTAATGTTTAGGTAGAATCTCTTTTCCTGTAGTTTGAATCTGTTGGTCCATTTCTGGGACTCTGGAGCAGCCAAAACCAAACATGATCCATCCATAAAACTTTGCTTCAACACACGTTTGAAATGAATTAATTCCAGTATCAATGCTAGTAGAAAAGTACTCTATAGAAAAGAAATGGTAAGATCAATAAGATGTAGATGAGTAACTTCATACATGCTTTTTGTTTTAAGGAGTAGAAAAATAATGATGGAGAGAGATCCAGTAAGAATGTAGAAAGAACGCAGAGATAAATAGGATCAAAAGAAAGTAAACATATACATCTTTAAAATGCACATTCTTCTATCCTTTACAACTGGGGGGGGGGGGGGTTCAGAATATTTTAATATTCTTTTTATCTTTACTGGAACACTTGTGATGTCTTCCCACTAGCTATAATGATGAAAGTCGCTTGTGTGGTCTTGGAGTTTCTTTAGCCTCATCTGATCCTATCTCTGATTCCTGGTATCTCTGACATCACCATTAATAAATGTACAGTCACTGTAGATAAAATGCCCTTTGAATGCTGTTGTCTCATTATGATCCCCCCTTTAAAAAACAACAACATGCATAAGACTTGATTACCAAGTGAAACCACAGCAATGCACAAACTCAAATATTTGTGCATTTTGGTTAGACTAAATTGTGTCCTTTTTAATGAGACAGACCAATGCTGTTAAGACATTCCAATATCTCTAGAATTTTCTTCCCTGTAATTATACACAGTGCCAGTTTTCTTTCAATTGCAGGCTAAATAATTTGAATTACAAGTTACTTCTTCTTTTTTATTATTATTATATAATCAAAACAAAATACAAGTACAAATACATTCAATCCACAATCCTATATTTACAACATCCATCCCCTTCACCCATTCCATTATCATCAAATGCAATCCATTCATCCTACATCAACATTGTAACTTCATTACAGTTCTATTATTGAACAAGTTTTGTAATTTATAAGAATTCTGTTTCCTGAATATTCTGTCAATGATGACTTCCTTATGTGTGTCTACATCACTTGCTTAGTTCTTCTATTTTATCTTGCTATATATGTTTAAATTAAACTAATCCAGGGTTGTTTTCCAACCTCTTTTTTCTCTTAGGATTTCTAGTTCTGTCCATTCTTCATCTATGCCATTATTTTTTAGGCTTAGTGTAAGTTTATCTAGAGCGGCTGCCTCTAGTCATTTGAAAAAACAGTCTTCTTCTTTGGGTATATGTTTTAATTTCCAGTGTTGTGCATATGTAATTCTGGCCATTGTGACCATATATAGGAGTTTTTTAATTTGTGTCTTTCTTCGTATTGTCTTGATGTTAGTTGTCATGTTCAGTAAGAAGAGTTTAGGGTCAGGTTTAACAGTTATCTTAAACATTTCACTTATTCGTTCTGCTACCACAAGTTATGGATCTGTACATGTTCAGCTGCAAGTCGGTCATACTGGTTTTGAATGGTTCAGCTTATCAGTTTTGGTCATGCTCTGTCAAGCAATAAAACAGCTAATTTGCTTCTGCATTTTTTCACATGTATCTCTGTTTAGCATGCAATAAAATATAGCTCTTGATCATTTCTACAGCAGTACAATAATATCCATGTTCATATATCCCCAAAGCTTACTCATCTTTTGGAACTAAGGACCCAATGTCTCTAGGCTAGTGTTCTGAGTGTATTAAGAAGGGGAAGAGAAGGAAAGATGACTGACATAAGAGATGAGAGTGAAAGGCAAAAGCCTGGGCAGCCTATGTTGTTCTACCCCGAGGATATAATTTAGCTGTGGGCTGGGGACTCTAACAACAAAGGTGAGAGGTTTTTGCGGGCTTCAGTTTCATCTAGATTGCTGTTTTTCTCAATCAATGTACCCATCCAAATCAAGACCTCCTGATTCTAAGCAGGTAGAATCAGGTGGTCATCCATGTGATCATTTTAATGTAAGGGGTGGGCAAGTGGATCAGTTTCCAGTTCCTGGGATCATCCAGGACTCCCAAAATGCCATGCCCCAATGGAAGTAGAATCATAGAATCATAGAGCTGGAAGAGACCACAAGTAGTCCAAGTCTACTTCTGGTTTTGAAAAAGAGGATAGCTAAGAGTGTGAGAAAGCTGCCTATTCTAAAACATGATTTGTCATGAGGCTTCCTGAAAAAGGAAATCACACTTTCTTTACCAGAAAGAAAAGGGCAACTTGGGTAGACTTGGAATGGTCAAGGGCCACTGAAGCTTTGCCAAAGGGTCATATGCAACCTTCAGGGCTACACATTGACACCTTTGGTTTATTGTATAGATAGACTCATAAGGATATACATAAATTCAACCTAGATAACAAGGAAATCAAAATAGTTAAAGATTTTGCATACCTTGGATCAAACATTGATCAGAACAGAGACTGCAGTCAAGAAATCAGAAGATTAGGAATGGGAAGGGCGGCTATGAAAGAACTAGACAAAATCCTAATGTGTAAAGAGATACAGCTGAACACTAAAGTTAGAATCTTTCAAGCCACTGTATTCCCTATTGTCGTGTATGGATATGAGAGCTGGACAGTGAAGAAAGCAGATAGGAAGAAAA